TAAGAGAAGGATTTATATCCAACACCTTTTCTATAGTTTCTGCTAATACCATAGATCATTGAAGCCATTTTGCTTCTATCTAGGCTTTTAGTTAGAAACTTCCTGAAACTATAGTCATACTCTTGTAAAATATTTTCAGAGCATGATTCAGATTTTGAATCAGAGTTTAATTGAGCAGATTCTAAATTATTTTTCAATTGAAGATTTTCAGTTTTTAGTTCAGCTATTTCTGATTCAAACTTGTTACTCTCAAATTCAAAATGCTTTTGAAGCGTTTTGTATTTGAGTTTAACTTTACTATAGTTTTCAAGAATATCAGATAAACTTTCAACAAGTTCCTGTCTAGAAAGTTCAGCAAATACCTCCTCAGAATCAGATTCTGATTCTGATCCAGATGATTCAGCATTGTCTTCAACGTCAGCCATGAATGCTACATTTGCACATTCTTCTTCTGACTCTGATGACGAATCAGATGCATCTGAGTCATCCCAGGTAGCCATCAGAACTTTCTTTTTATGATCTGACTTTCTTTTTAGGTTCTCCTTTTGAAGCTTTGGACAATCACTCTTGTAGTGCCCAGGTTCCTTGCATTCATAGCAAACAACCTCTCTTTTTCCAGATCGTCTGTGTCCAAAGGATTCTTCAGATCTTCTGTATCCAGGGGATTCTCCAGATCGTCTGTGCCCAGAAGATTCTTTGTGTTGATCTGGTTTTCTAAAGTTCTTGAACTTCCTTTACTTATTCTTCCAGAGTTTATTGATTCTTCTGGATAGCAAGGATAGTTCTTCTTCATCTACAGAAGCAGACTCTTCAGAGCTTTCTTCTAATACCTGCAATGCTTTAACAGCTTTATTAGATTTTAATGCAATTGACTTACCTTTCTTTAGAGGCTCATCTTCCTCTAGTTCAGTCTCATGACTCCTTAGAGAACTGATTAGTTCCTCCAGCGTAATCTTGTTCAGATCCTTTTCCAGCTTTAGAGCAGTGACCATGGGTCTCCATCTGGTTGGTAAGCTTCTGATTATTTTCTTGACATGATCTGTTGTAGAGTAACCCTTGTCCAGTAGGCCAGCAGTGAGAATCTGGAATCTGGAAAACATTGCTTCAATAGATTCAGATGCTTCCATCTTGAAAGCTTCATACTTCTGGATCAGCGCCAGAGCCTTGGTTTCTTTGACTTGAGAGTTCCCTTCATGAGTCATCTTCAGGGATTCAAATATATCAAAGGCAGTTTCTTTGTTGGTTATTTTCTCATACTCAGTATGAGATATAGCATTTAGCAATATAGTTATAGCCTTGTGGTGATTTCTGAATTCCTTCTTTTGCTCCTCAGTCATTGATTCTCGGTCAACTTTCTTGCCATTCCCATCAGTGGGATGAACATATCCATCAATGACTAAGTCCCAAAGATCAGCATCAAATCCTAGAAAGAAACTTTCCAGTCTATCTTTCCAATAATCAAACTTCTCTCCATCAAACATGGGAGGTTTTGTGCTGACTCTTTCTTCATATTTGTTGTTGTTGGGTGTTTGAGTTTCAGCAGCCATAATGTATATCAACCAATAGTATCAAGATTTTTTCTCACTGGATCTTTCTGGTCACGGTTAAGCGATAGCACAAACAGAACCGGAGCTCTGATGCCAACTGAAGGTGAGAAAAACACTTAGAAGGGGGGTTGAATAAGAGTTTTTCGGAAATATGGCAATAAAAAAACTCAATATTTTTATCCTGGTTCGTTGAACTCAACTACTCCAGTCCACCTTATCAAAGATGATTTGCCTTTCTCTGCAAGGACTTAATCCACTATTGATCAACTGATTACAATAGAAAGCTCTAAGAACAATTGTCTTAGTCTTCTCAAGAACTACTGACCACACCTTGGTCTTCTTAAGGAACTTCTTACAATTTAATGTAAACTAACAAGTGTTTGAAGGCTTCTAATAAGCTGTATCACAACTGTGATGTATACACTTAAGATTAAGTACAACAATAACTATGTGGTTTTATGAAAGATCAAACGAGTAAGATCTTGTGAGATTTTTTCTTTTATAAATCAAGAGTGTATTTCTTTCTGAATGATCTAGCAATGAGCAAAAGATGAGTAGTGAATTAGCAAACTCAAAATGTTGAAGTAGTTCTCCTTTTATAGCTTTTTCAAATGCCTTGAGTGATGTGCAGTTGAATATAATATTTTGATTGTATGACTTTTCATCACCAAAAGTATGGGCAAAGATATGCTTTCTGCAAAAAGGTATGGTTGTAGAAGCCTTGGGATTTGCACCACGTCACTTCTTTGGACAAATTAGTCGTTGGTTACTTTGGAAGTAGCGCCACGTCTAATCAATTTTACAGCTTCTTCAACAAGCTTCCTTCAAGATGAAGTCTTCACAATCTATACTTTAGAACTTGTAGTAAACTTAAAAGGTATGAAATGCTTTAAGAAGATCAGAGCTTTAAGATGAATGATAAATCCAGAGTCTTGATAGATGATCAGATCTTTAATGTATCAGAGTTTCAGTCTTGATCAGAGTCTTCATCAGAGTATGCAGCATATGCTTTAAGCGTGAATATTAATGATAAGAGTCTGGTTATAAAAGCCTCTGAGTTTGTAATGAGAATAACTTCAGAGTCTGATAAGATCAGAGCTTTCAACTTTTATATACTTCTTTCAGTAACGCTTCAGATCATTCTGTAGCTTCTGCTTCAGATCCTTCTGGCAGTGCTTCAGAATCTTCTGATAGCCTTGCATCTGATGCTTCAGATCTTTGCATAGTTTCTTTGTACTTATTTGCTTCTTTTAAGAGTATTTAATTTTATACCTGAAACAATAATACTTGAACAAATTTTAGAGTGTATATTTGCTCAATACAAAATTCCATAAAAGTTATCATCAAAACATAGAGATATAAGAACCACCAATCTGTGCTCTAACAACACCAACTTCCACTGTGACTCTTGTACTTGCTACAAACATTTGACTGAGCTCTGTCTTGATCCTCTAGGAACTCCATGAGCTCTATCCATATACTATATACATTATCAATGCTTTACAACCCTCTAATGATCTTCAAATGGCTCCAAGTTAGTAGATGAGCCCCATACAAGCAAATGACCCTCTTGAGAACCCAACCTTCTTCCTGATGATTATGGTGACTTCTCAAACTTGAATAATCCTCTGGCTAGGCTTCTCTTGACATGTATCACACTTGATCCCCTGCTACATGAAGGATGTTATGCTATGCAAATGCTAGAACTATGCTTAGAACAATGTTACGCTATGCAGTGAAACATAAACCAAGTGATAAAAAGGTTGGGCAAATTTTGGGGTGCAACAACTTGCTACACAAACAAGTAATTCACTATTCACCTCAGTAAATCTATTGTTCAGTTCTTGAAGTTGTCTATCAATCACTTGATAAAAGACCTCGACTTGAAAGTGATGCAAGTTTGAAACTTTTTCAACTTTACGACTTGGTTTTCCATGTAACATGAAGACATCATCCATATTTATAATTTCAATATTATGCTTCTCACAGAATAATGACACTTCATCGAGTAGACTTGACCAACCATCTTCTCTCATATTTTGTAATCTTTCCTTAGATTCTTTAACAAGTGTCATAGCATTTACAATATCTTGATCTTTTCTTTGCAGTGCTTGAGATAAATCATTAGTAATTCCCAATATATTTCTCATCAAAAGCAATTTAAAAATAAATTCAAAGGATTGTAAAGTATTCAATAATTGACGAGTTTCAACTTGTTGCTCTGTGCTAAGGCTATCTTTTAAAATCATATCTAGCACATCACACACAGAAGGAAACAAAGAAACCAGCCTTAGTAATGTACCATAATGTGATCCCCATCTAGTATCTCCAACTCTTGTTAGCGTAGTTTCTTGATTCAAGCCACGACCAGTTAAAGTTTCTCCACTCTCTAATGCTTCCATTACTTTAAGAATTTTACTTTCTCTAAGAATATATCTGCGCTTGCATGAAGCTCCAACAACATTAGATAAATTGTTAACTACAAGAAAAAACCAAGCAATGTCATCATGCTTTTTAACAACCGCTACAAGGGCCAACTGAAGTTGGTGAGCAAAACAATGAACATAGAATGCACACTTATTTTATTTCAATATCAAACTTTTGAGGCCATTAAACTCTTCTTGCATATTACTTGCCCCGACATATCCTTGTCCATTAACTCTTGAAAAGCTTATATTGTACTTTGCCAATAAGGACTCCAGTGCTAACTTTAAAGATATAGTACTTGTATTTGCAACATGAACAATACCAAGAAACCTCTCAATGACACATCCTTTCTTGTCTACATAACGTAAAACAACAGCCATTTGCTCTTTAACTGAAACATCTCGAGATTCATCAATTAAAATAGAGAACAAATCATTGTTAAGATCATCAATAATAACTTTTGTGGTCTCAGAAGCAGCAGCTTTCACAATATCTTTTGAATGCTAGGTGACACTAATTTGAGATTTCCACGAGATTTTTTCAATACTTTATCAATCTCTTCATTATGATTACAAAGAAATTGTAGAATCTCGAGAAAATTACCTTTATTCTTTGAATCCACTGATTCATCATCACCGCGAAATGCTAATCCCAACTTTAATAAAAGTAGAATACGATCAACTATTGCAGTTAAATAAATCTGATATTCCCTTTTGATCAAGTCAGATTGTTTGTTGATAGCAACTTCAATATGTTGTTTTTGATTCATTAGTGCATTACATTTTCTGCAAGCTTGGTTGTGAGCACTATTAGGACCTCCAACATGGACATTGAGTCTATCTTTATTTTTCCAATTTGAAAATTCCTCAGTCAAAAATGCATCCCAACCTTTGTGTTCTCCTATCTCATGTCTCATAAGGTAATAACATAAACAAAAACAACATCTTTTGATACACTATATTCCAACCAACTACCAAATTCAAGAAACCAATCAGGATTGAACTTACGTAAAGACGTACCAAATTGTCATTGTGGAAAATTATGGTCCTTTGGTTGACAAGGCCCTTTTTGTAAATAAGCTCTTCGGATTTCATCTCGATCATTTGGGTGATAACATGCCATTTGATTCCTTTCTCCAGGATCAACAGGAAGATTATCTAAATCAACATCTAAAAATCTTTTTTTCAAAGATGGTCCTACTTGTTGTGCAAATGCATTTTCCACTTCATTAACTTGTTGAGACTCCAATGTTGATTTTCTTTTAAAATATTTTTCCATTTCTAACATATAAAAATTTAACACTAATTAGTTACTTGATTCTAATACAACTACTGGATAAAATTAAAACTAAAAACATGACAAAAATTGATACAAAATTATGAAATCACAACATAATAATATAATATACAACAACAACAACAACAAAAAGAATGAAGGGAGAAACTTTCTTGAATATTGTCTTTTAACTCTACTATGATAAAACAATAAAAACAAATAAGATTTAAAAGTACGAGATTTGTGAAGAAAAAATAAAATGTGTAGAAGAAAGAAGACAAAAAAAATAGAGTATGTATGTAAATTGATTTATAATTAGATTAGAAAAACCTATATAAATACAATTTACTTGTGTCTTTTTAATTTCCATCTTCTTTTTTTAAAAAAAAATAATAAAATAAAATTAATAGTCAAATTTATGGTTTCTAGATTTCAAATTAAATGAGTAGTATGGGGACAATGATACATTTAATGTGGGGTCAATATTCCAAAATTAATTATAATTGGTTTTAAAACAAAAAATTAAGTGGGGTCACTTGACCCCATTCTACACCAAGTGGATCCGTCCATGGATACACAACACAAATGCGGAAGGGACACTAGGGTCTTGGAAACCCCAGTTATTCACAGCGGCGGCCTTTCTATCTTTCTTTCTCCCAGAAATTCTTTCTTCTCTCCCGTTCATGCTTCTCCATCGTCCATGAATGAGCCTTCTTCTCCTTTTGCATGCTAAATCCCTTATTAAAGCTCCAACCTGAAACAAAACAAACTGAAAAAACCATTTCTTCCGATGAAAAACTTACGTTTCGCTTCTTAACAGTGATGTTTGTTATTATCCGAGTCTCTGGACGGGAAAACACCCGATGATGGATGCTTTGAGGCTGTTGGCGGCGGTAGTGAAGGATTCACGACCACCGTGGATTATTCTTCTTCTTTCTTTTTGACGGAGCTACACAGTAAAACGGGTTCTTTGTTTTTTCTCTCAGAGGCGATGATGACGGAACCGTGAAGGTCTTCCTGAGCCTCTTTATCTCGCTTCGGTGAGTTTGTTCTTGTTTGTGGTTTGTGGACGCCGTTCTTGGTGGTTTGTCTATTAGAGTTTTCACGGCTCCCTTTTACTTCTTCTGAACACTTGTTTTATATGCTTCTTTTTACTCTCACTGGGCCTGGATCCACTTGACTTACGTTATTATTTTTTCAAATTATGATGATTTTGGATGCAATTTGATTACGATCTGGACCCGTGATTTACTTGATGGGATTTGGTTTCCATGATTTCTGATTTGCTGTGATTTGCGTTTTGGATTTGATTATTTCTGATATTGACTTGGATTTTTGTTATCAGATGTTGATTCGAATTTTGACTACCGGGCTGATGGATTTTCGATTTCCTCTATGAATCCAGATTGATTTGCCTGGCTGGATATCCACGGATATTTTCTAATGGTGAACTGGATTTAGACTTGGATATCCAAATAATTTACTTGATGAATTAGATATGGATAGAAATCTGTTTGGCTGGGAAATCATTTTTCGAAATAAGTGTTTATCCGAATAATCACTTTTTGGCCGAAAACACTTCTTTTTCTCTTCTTCCGGTTGTTTCAAAAAATAGAACAGAATATTACCTATCGGTACCGAGGTCGGGAATCGGTTTGGGAGTTGGCTTCGGCATTTGTCGTTGCCCTCCCGACACCCGATGATGAAATTGCTCTGAGGGTGTCAAAAATAATTTTCTAACTTAATCTCTTTCGTTCTGTTTTGTCTGTTTCGTGCAGGTATGAAGAATTGGCTCTTGGAGAAGCTAATCGGAAAAGTCGGGCGCGAAGAATTGGCATGAAGATCACTTTTAGGAATTTAGAACTTTAGGATAAAAATATGTACTTTAATTTTCTTTTTGTAATTTGTAATAAAATAAACATGAATAAAATTCATATTATTTGTATCCAAATAAAATTCTTCCGATTACTTCCCTCAATTAATTTATCAAACTTGAATGAATTACTTAAACCAAAACCTGATTAAATCCAAATGATAAATTGCCTCCGAACAAATTCCACCGATTAAAGATTCGTACAAATGAACTTAAACAGACGGATTAACCTCACCAATTAAACTCATAAGAATAAAATCCAAAAAACAAATCTGAGTCCACTTCGTCATTTCAGAACATGCTGCTCCAAATCAACTCGGCCAATAGTCACAATTAAACTGACATAACAATTCCAGGCTCGAGTCGAAATTTCCACTGCTTCTCTTTTTAAAATTCAAATGGCAGATGGCAGGATAAACAGGAAAATATGCGCCTGTAAAGTAAATTCCGCAAAGTGATTGCTTGCACCGATTTAAACCAACCCAAATTGATACCTCAACATAATCAGCCCCACATGATTAAAAAATGTCCCTGAAACCCATTGACAACAAAGTCTCGTCTTTTGAATAAATTAACCGTATCTCGAAAGCTCCGATGTCAAAAAATTACTGCAAAATTTTGTTCATCCTCAAATAAAATAAAGAACTCGGAAATGGAGATCCCAATTACTCAATGGATTCCTGACGATGATTCTGCTTCCTAAACTGTCAGCAAACAACGGATAAATGACCATTTCGCCCTTCAACAATTAAAGTGTACCAGATGGGATTCCTGCAAAACAAACAGACTGCGTAATCCGTTAGTGGTTAGTTAATATGTGATGCAAAAATGAGATGTGATGCGTCATGAATCGACTAATCTAAGGGTAAAATTTGGGGTATTACAAATGCATCTGAATGTTATGTTTTTCTAATTGAATTTATCTTATGCTTTATTGTTTTTCCTCTGTAATTTTTTTCTGTCTTAAAGTTTTTCTTAAAGATTTTCTTTTTGATATGACAAAAAGGGGAGAAAATGGTAATTTTGATAATTCACATAAACAGTTACCAAAGGCAACTCATATATGATAAATTTCATCTAATCATATTTTTGAGTGTTTCAGAGCTAACAATTGTCATCTGACAAAATTCTAAGAATTAACTCTGAACCAAAGTCTGAGAATCTACAAGTTTCCTCTGAAACTGAAAAGAATACAGAAGCTGAAAGGGAAGTATTTTATCTTTTCAGAAGTATTCATTTCAGGGGGAGATTAATATTCTCAGGGGGAGTAATATTTCTTTTCTATTTAAACAAAATTTCCCATAGTATTTGTCATCATCAAAAAGGGGGAGATTGTTAGAACACAGAATGATGTTCAATATATCTCATTGTTTTGATGATAACATTAATGAAATTTTGTATAGAGAATTTATATACTCTAATTTTGTTCAAGTGCTTATTTGTTTCAGATATTAAAATTATCATTATTCTGGAAGCAAGAACGCCTCTGAACACCACAGAACGAAAAAGCTCTGAGCGTCAGAAGCAACTCATCAGAAGACTCTGATTTGCTACAATGACTCTGAGCGAAGCTGAGAAGAATCTGAGTAAAGAACATACGTAAAGCTTCAGAAGACTCTGGAAGTACTCAACGCTGCAAGTACAGAAGCTTTGATAAGCAAGTATGCTCTGATAAGGATTTCACGCTTAAAGCACTTTGCTGCAAACTCTGATAGAGAAACTCTGATTGAGTTAACTCTGATCTGAACAACTAAGAACATCATCAGAAGTTCTGATGCAAGACGTTCCAAAGTTGTTGAAGAAGATGTTGTTCAAATAAAGATCCGTTGGCATATTCCTTGTCATTATCCTAAACGTCTCTTTCCTCATTCGTTCATGACACAGGACTTCAGACAAAAAGGATTTGTCAGAATATTCCTCTTCTGAGAAAGGAAAAGTCAATAGAAGACAAAAAGAACAAAATGCACAGATTGCACGGTCTTTGAGAAATGGATTTCAAAGTACTATAAAAGCAAGTCTAAGCATCACTTCAAAGGTTAACGAACTTCAAACAAACTCTTGACATATTATTAAACTCATTCAAAATTTCTTCAAGTTGAATAATTTTACTTCGTTCTAAAACTTGTGTAAAAATCACTGTTGTGATATAGCTTTTTAGAAGCACATCTTAAACACATTTGTTAGTTTATCTTTGTAAAAGATTCCTTAAGAGACCAAGTGTGGTCAGATTTCTTGAGAAGACTAAGACAGTTGTCTTAGTGGTTAACACTGTAATCAGTTTGATTTAGTGGATTAAGTCCTTGTTGAGAAAGGCAAATCACCTTGGTAGGGTGGACTGGATTAGTTTGAGTTCAAACGAACCAGGATAAAAATATTGTGTTATTTTTCTATCATATTAATTGTTTTAAAACCCTTATTCAACCCCTCCCCCCCCCCCCCACCTTCTAAGTGTTTTTCCCACCTTCAACTTTGATACCTTTGTCACACAAGGCTTGACTTGGCATACGATGTAGGTACGGTAAGTAGATTCATGCAGAAGCCAAAGCTATCACACCTAGCAGTGACGAAGAGGATACTGAGTTATTTGAAAGGGACTCTCGACTACGACATTTTGTTTCTTGCAGCTGATGAAGGAAAAGAATAGAACTTAGTGGGATACACTGACTCTAGTTGGTGTAGTGATCCTGAGGATAGAAAATCCACAGGTGGCTATGTGTTTATGTTAGGTGGATCACCAGTTGATTGGAGTTCGAGAAAGGAGGCGGTAGTGGCATTGCCATCATGTGAAGCAGAATATATAACTGCTTCTCTTTGTGCATGTCAAGCAACCTGGATGGTGAACCTGGTCGAAGAGATCACAACGAAGAGTCATGGAGTAATTACCATGAAGATTGACAACATGTCAGCTATCAACTTGGCGAAGAATCCAACAGCACACGGTCAAAGCAAACATGTCGAAATGAGGTTCCATTATCTCCGAGAGCAGGTAGCAGAAGGGAAGATGAATTTGAAACACTGCTGAACTGAGAATCAGATTGCAGACATCATGACGAAGGGAGTGTCAGTCGAAGTGTTCAGAAGGCTAAGGTCTATAATGAATGTAGATAGCTTAGACACAATGAATTAGATG